GATGCGGGACTCGATCCAGGGACTCCAGGATCATGACCTGAGCCGAAGGCAGTCGCTTAACCAACTGAGCCACCCAGGCGCCTGCCACCTTTCTTTTTCTTAAGTAATCTCCACACCCCGTGTGGGGCTCGAACTCACAACCCCGAGATCAAGAGTCCTATGCTCTACTAATTGAGCCAGTCAGGCGCCCTCAAAACTTTTTTTAATAAAGAATTTCCAGTTTCTAATAACATGAACTCAAGAGCAAGGTGTTGCCCAGAGGTAAGAGAATAAGTGCAGTGTGCGTCAGTAAAATTGGGAAGGAGAGAAATAAGACCATATAAGGAAGTGGATGCCTTTGTGACAGAACCTACATCCTTTAACATAATTTTCTAGAGTTTAAGAAGTTGAAATATGGACTTAATACTGATAAATTTATATATAAACATATGCTAATTTGATTTTTAAATCTCTGAGCACAGATACATGATTGTGGTTTATATTTAAGTTCATGAAAATTATGCAGGTACTTTAAAGTAAGAATAACTGATTTTCTCTTGTTTAAAAGTTGTATTTCTCAGAATCATAATGATAATTGATCTAAATAAACAAAATTGCCAAAGCAAAAGAAAATCTGACTTTGTTACAAATACCTTACTTTTTTTGGTCCAAAAGAGGTATAAGCATTTTTAGTTACGGCAGTTAATTCTTAAAATTACCAAAAGGCAGACAATGGCATAGGTTTACTTAAAATTTTAATTTCAAATGAAATGTGTGACACTGATACATAAGGATACAAAGATGGCAAATAACCTAATTCTTCTTCTTGGTTTGTTCAAGCCTCCAGGCACCAGTCAAATATCGAAGTCGTATAAAAAGTAGGTCCTTGCCCATTTGTAGCCAGCTCCAAAATGGAACTAATTTAGAACCTGTGATTTAAGAAGAATTAAAAATGAATTAACTTAAATAAACTCTGGAGAAAATTTATCAGTTTAAAATTACATTTTAGGTCAGTCAAATGACCTTTGTGACTTTCTAGTCACCTTATTTTTTATATTATGTATGCATGTATGTATTTATGTATATATTTAATTCCATCTACACACTTAAAAATGATTTTTTAAGACAAATTTTCATGTTTTACATGCTACTTTTCAGTCTCCACACATAATATAAATTAATAATCTGGGATAAGAAATCCAAGACAAAAACCCAACTTTTATTCTAATTCTACCAAAGATTCTCAATCAGCTAAAAGAAACACAGTCTTAGCTAGGACATCTTGTCCAGTGGTTGCCAAATGGCAGTGTGCCAAGCCAGCTGACTATAGGAGGTCTGCCTCCTGGAGCATGTTTTAAAAGCTTGTCTTCCTTGATTTTATCCCATGGAATTGTTTTTTTATTAAGTCACGAGTAGACTGCAGGTCAGGTAACTGGGGTACTGGATGGTGAAGGGTCATGGCCAATATCAAAATACTAATCACTGACAATTTTCTAGATTTAAGCCCAAATACTCTAGCTCCTTCCTCTTCTCCCCCCCCTCCACTTATTGAGGTATAACTGACAAATAAAATTGAAATATATTCAAAGTACAGAATGTATGGATTTGATATATATACATATATACACAATGTATATATTTCTATACACATACTGTAAAATGATTACCATAGTCAAATTAATTAACACATTTACCTTAATTTTATTTGAATCATTTACAAAAGAATTAAACATCTTCAAAGCTAAATTGAGTCGTTTCTCTAATAACACAAACAAAACATCTTGGAAGTTAAATGAAACTGGGAAGGATCTAAATTGTGGAGATTTCAGTTGGCCCTATTATAGGGAGGAGGGACTTAGGGTATATGGCCAAGGATTCTGGGAATGACTAATACAAAACTATTCACTGAGTGCCCGTTAATGAAAATAAATAAAATAATAAATAATACATAACTATCTCTGAAATGCACGAGCAAATGATGTAAATATGAAACACATTTTTTACTTTCTCCCACTTCAATTTCCCACAGAGTCTATGCTGGACATAGATCAACACAGATCAACACAGCAGATCCTTCTAAGTCTGAGCAGTCCTTTATCGGCTTCTCAATCCCCTTTGATCTCAGCAGCTACTATGGAGAGTAGTTAAATTTTTGTAAGTTAAATTTGATTCAGCAAGACTCCAAGAGGTTTAATTTGTTCTAGACTATATAGTTTGTATGATCCCCAGACCTTCTCCTGTCCCTAAACACCCACAGTTACAGAACAATAATGGCATATTACAACAAAGACTTTCTAGGAAGAGGCCATGCTCAGCAGGGGCGGGGTGAGTCTGAAAGTCTCCAGGTGATTGTTAACTGCTTCCACACTGTGAATTAATTTTGGAGCATTCTAATGTAAGTAAAGAGAAAACTAGAATATATTTTAAGTTCTACAAACTATAAGCAGTCTAAGCTTTTTCAAACAGGAATTATTAAGAATTACGACAGATTTCTCATTATTAGAAATCTTAGAGATTTTCACATTTTTTTGGATATATATACTGGCTCTGAATGGACTGTGGGCATTTGGAGTAAAAACAACTATAATTCCTTATTTAGCTCTGCATGGTGGCTTGTAGGTACTCAATACCTACTGAGTAATGAAATAAGACCATACTAAATAAAAGGTGATACAAACAAAATTTATCTCAAAAGACTGATCAACCTTGTGTCTAGCCTCAGATTGCCATGATCCTGTCTGCTGCAGAAGTTTTACTGAATTTCTTGGGCCAGGTAGTCGGCCTACTGAAGACCCAGGAAGAGATTGCAGGGAGAAGGCAGTAAGCCATTTGGAGGGTGGAGGGGATCAGGAGGGGAACTCTCTATGGAACTGCCCCTCTCAGTCAGGTCAGCTGAGTAGGCCCTGACGGGGCAGCCAGCTTACTTTACTGGTCAACTCTATTGTCACCAACCCCCCACCCCACTTAAGATCAGCTGTAACATGAACAATATGCTCACCTTCAATTTCAGTCCAGTTGACAGCAATTTCTGCTATTGGAATTTTAAAGAACTGTGCTATATAAAGTAATTCTACATCAAATGCCCTGAAACAGAAAATATATTGATTTTTATTTTTAAAAAGACAAATAGAGTATAATTAAATCTCTACCTTGGCATGTTTTACAGAAGCTTATAAGGCAGATATATAGCTTATATAACTGAAAGTCAGATTCATAGAAGGTCAAATAAAAGGTTAAGTAGTTTAGGAGCTTCAAGGTAAAGAGTGTGTCACTGCATAACATTTAAATGAGAAATACAGTGTCTCTATCATAACTCAGAAACTCCCAGAAGTAAAATTGGCCTGTTGGGCTCTAAGAGAAAATTTAATCATGCAAATTTTCAAGATTGATGGTTTTCAATCCCAGGCTTAACTAGCTCAAGGTACAGAACTGATAGCATTTTCAACTGATTCAGAGAGCTGATAAAACAGAACTCTGAGCAGCTCTTGGAGAAAAATGTTGTCAGTCACTTTAGAGTTGCTTGATTACATTCATCTACCACCAAAGGATCAATTTCTTTTTTAAATACAGGGTTGCCTACGGCCTTGTTTTTTCCTTTTCATCTCCCCATGCCATTCTGGGCAAGACAGTACTACCAGCCTTTGAAGTGAAAAGCCACTTTAGAGTAGTCTGAAATGCTCTTTGGGTATAACTAAATACATACATGGGAATTAGATATATTGTCTCATTTTAACTTACACTGTTAAAATCATCTCTAGTCTGAATTCCCAGTTCCTCCTTCCTTCTCCCTATGAAAGGCTCTGAAAGCTCCTCCTCAGTTACCCCTTGGTTTAGGTGAAATCTGCTTTCCCTAAAGTTTCTGAGCCCTGACTTAGAAGTTTTCTTGGATTCTGCTTACAAATTCTCTGAAACCAGTTTCTTCCTCTCAGTGGCAGTGAGCTCAGGGAGAGAAACAGCACTACCTATTAAACTTTCTTCATGCCCTTGTAACCAAAAGCGCTGGGGGCCTTTACTGTTTTGCTTTCTTCTTGCTCTGTTAAGCAAACCCCTGCCCCCCCACTTTCTAGACTGCATGGAACACACTTCAAACTTCCAGGGGTTGGTTTTAAAATATTAGCACAAACAAAAAAATACCTAAAACCCACTTCTATTTGATTTTCCTGATCCCAGACAACTTGAATTTGGGAGCTTTGTCTTTTTGGCCACAAAACTACTACTGTCCATTCTGTGACTAGTTTAAATCCCAAGTATTTGGATAATTCAATATGAAAACTATTTTTTTAGAAAACACTTAATGCTTTTTCTTATCCTAATAAAATATTTACTTAAGATGATAAAACCATCTACAAAAGCGTTCTTTGTGTTGTTAAAAAGACTGTGTAAAACTTCTGTTAACTAGCCTGGGACACTCAAGAAAGGAGGAAATTATTTGACTATTAAGCCTGGTTAACCCTTAATCCTCTCCTTTAACACAAAACAAAACAAAAAATACCTAAAAGGCTGAATTAGTTCTAATGTCAATAATCTGAACAAGATTATTAAGTACTGTTCTAAGGATATCAGCATATAGTGACTTATCAAAGACATAAAACAACATAGGAATGATGAGTAGGAAGGAGTGGGGGAAAAAGCACTGATTAATTGAATTTATATTAAAAAAATTGAAAGGGCTATTCGTCTTCTACTATTACTTTTACTCTATCTTCCTCTTTTAACATTTTAAGACATGAAGATGTTTACTTAAAAAAAATGCGTAGTTCACATCACCATATTATAAGAGACTAATCTGTTACCAAAGAAAACAAAATTAAAATACCAAGTATTTCTGGATAGAGCCTTATGCTATTGTATAGAAACAGTATAAGGGTTAGTCTCCAACTCGGATGCCTCATGTGTTTTTGTAGATGTAGGGAGGGCAGAACCACTGTTTTCTTTTGTTACTCAGTTCCTGGTAAAGCTGTGACCTCACAGATATATTTCTGAAGAACAAAGAGCGTGTTGATGCTCTGTTAAAGACAGCAGACACACACATACCCTCCTGCTCCCTCCTGAAATCCCACTAAAATTAAAACAACAATGATGGAATAAACACGTAAGAACAAAGAAGGGATGAAAGTAATAAAAAAAATATGAAACTTAGAAAGTAGCTGGACAACTGGTAACTAGGAAATGTAGGCTGTGACAATGGGAGAAGCCTAGAACAGACGAATGGGTACCGCAGAGCCCCCCAAAGGCTCCGGCATCATTGGCCTCGCTGCAGATGATGTCTGCAAGTGGTGCAGGTGGGGCTTCAAAAGGTAGGACTCACGGAAAATCTCTAGGAGATTCTCTTTTGCTCAGGTTGTTTCTGTGAATGCTGGCAGCCAGGCTCCTATCTCCCAGGCAGGAAATCCAGAGATCCCACTTTTGTGAAAACAACCAGCCCAAAAGATAATGACAGCTGGGAGTTTCCCACACCAAGTGGCCCTGCTACTTAATCTGTAGTGACATCGACCAGTTGATCAGAGTTCTCTGATCATGCACACAGCTTCCGATGAGCTTTTCAGGACCATACTAGACACATGTGAGGATAGAGGTTCCACATCTGTTTTATAGGAGGGAAGAGAAAAAGGGTATGGGTTTGCAGATTTGGAGTAGCTACTGCATGCTTGACAAGATGCATGAAAAAGAGCCACACTAAGTCCCTGAAATCATGGTATTTCAAAACACTGTGGAGAAAAAGCTTCCAAAAGGAGCTGGGAACAACATGCATAGACAAAGAATTGAGATTCAGATTACTGTCAGAATTGGACTTCTCCACAGAAACACTGAGTGCCAAAGACAATAGAGCAATGCTTTCAAAATCCCGAGGAAAAATGACTTCCAACCTAGAATGCTTTCTCCAGCTATTAGGCAAATGGGAGGGGAGACTAAAGGTACGTTTCACACGCAGGGTCTCAAGGTTTCTTTCTCCAATGTTTAGGAAGTTTAATAGAGGATGTGCTCTACTGCAGTCGGGGTGCAAACCAAGGAAAAGGAAGAACAGGGACTGTGCAGCAGACCAGAGAACAACTAGAAAGGTGAGAGCCAACGAGATGTCTCCAAGAAAAAGGTGAAACTGATGCGTGATCTGGTGCATGGGAACATAGGGAGATACTTTCTACTTCGTACAGAGTGTGAGCCTAAGTGACAGGTCCATAGTAAAGTGGCTGACAGAAACTCCAGATATTTATTATCCTCAGGAAAACAGAAAGTACAAGACAGGTAATATAATCATATTGCATACTATGGCTCAAATATGAATTATCTTCACACAGCTATACCAATCAGTTGTGATCTAACCACAAATTATGTAGAAACTGCTTTAGGAGGATACGTGTGAGGGTGTACAGGGGTTAAGAGAACTACATACTTATCTGTTGATTTATTTTGGAAAGTAGTATCTAAAACTGAAAAAAGGAGACAGGGCTATGCAAACCCATTATTTTGAATATGAAAGCAAATACCACAAAAAAATAGCAGAGAGTTGAAAGTGACTATAGTTAGGAAGTAGGAATTAGGGACAGAGGGAGATGGGGCAAGGGACGATGACTTTTTAGTATAAGCCTTATGGAACGGACTTTAAATTATTAGCATGCATAACATTGATTTTAAATAAGTATTCATCAGGGTGCCTGGGTGGCTCAGTTGGTTAAGCGACTGCCTTCAGCTTGGGTCAGGATCCTGGAGTCCCAGGATCGAGTCCCACATCAGGCTCCCCACTTAGTGGGGAGTCTGCTTCTTCCTCTCACCCTCTCCCCTCTCATGCTCTCTCTCACTCTCTCTCAAATAAATAAATAAAATCTTAAATAAATT